CTTTGCTTCACTCTCGTCCTTTTCATCCTCCCGGCTGCTTGCTGTTTAAGGAATATTTAATTAAATTTTGCCTGTTTATTGTTATTGTTGCCTGGCGACATTTGTTAATTGAATGCGCCGTTGCAAAAGTGATTATCATTGAGTTTGTCATTTGATTTATGTGACGACTGTAGGGCATAAAATTGCTTTAACAAATGAGATGCTTAACGTATAGGATGTGTAAAGCAATTCAAATGAAGCATTATGCCAAGAAATTTAAGATTTAATGGGGGATTATTTTGTGGGGCGGAGGTAGCCGAGGTCTTCTTCTGATTCCATTACTTGTTTGACTCCGCACTTTACATAATTGATATACGCACACTCCCCATGGCATTTCTCCCCCATTAACCGCATCAAGCTTCATTTAAGTTCAATCAAAGCCAAAAGCTGTTCAATATGAATGCCAACGTCCAGTGTCCAAATGCCATCGAATCGGTCGCCAAGTGACAGCCACAAAAGCCACAGAAACCTTTTTGCCTGTCCGCCAAGCGTGACGCAAAATTGCAAATGTCAAATGCTTCGCAAGGATACAGAGGGACCCCAGAATGTGGGTGCACTGGAAAAAGGATCTTACTTTCTTTGGAATTTAATTGAATTTTGTAAATGTTTATGTGTAGCATTATTCATATATTAAAAATCTTTTAACAGAATTGTTTACGTTTATGCATCGGATTAACATTTTCTAATAAGTCTTTCTTTGGTATCTATTTTTTATTACAATAGATTTACAAGATTTTAATCAATACTAATATTTTTTTACAGTGCTATTGTGCGTTCGAACCATTGAAGCAGGGGGTAAGGCATTTGGTTTCAATGGAAAAGCCGCAAGCGTCAGAAACTTCTTTGCCCCCAAAAACTTGGACTAATTGAGAGGGCTTAACCGGAGAAACCCGATGCCAATTAGCAAAGGGAGTTTCAGCCGAGGCAGGGGTAAACAGGATTATATGTATCTCGCAATAAAAACAAACATTAAATTAACTAACAAATGTCAAATGCAAATGGCAATGCAGACATTAACAGAAACGTTTGGCAGGCAATATAATTTGACTGCGAAATTTTGTTGAAATTTCGGCTCTGAAAATTGTATAAAATTATGCAAAATGTCCTTAGAGCCTGCCTTTCCCACTCTCTCCATCTTCCTTGTTTGTGCATGGAAATTGTAGTCAAAGAGCAGAGGAGGAAATTCTAATGTAAATTTCATGCCAACACATAGCAAAAATTTGGAGACACGAAAATGCAGCAGCAGCTTCAATGCCAAGCCATTTGATTTACCCATCTCGCTCGCTCTCTCTCAACCCCTCTCTTTCTGTTTGTGTGTGTGCCTGAGTGTGTGTGTGTACCGGAAATACTTGGCATGCCTCATTGAAGCTCGTTAGCTGACTTATTGCTAGAGTCTGGCTAAGGGATTCATGTTGACAGCTCATGGCGGCACTTTCAATTGAAATAAATCCTTACAAACGCACGCACACATTCGAGTATCCCGCAAAAGGGGCAGAAAAAATACGAAATTTGCCAATTTGTTGTCATGTCCCACTTTTGCCACGCCCATTAGCCCATTACACACACATATAGAGGGGAAAGTCGAGAAAGGGGAAGAGGAGGGGAGCGAAAGAAAGTGGAAGATATCTCATGGAAGACCAAAGGCATTGTCAATACTTGAGCCTTTTTACAGCTCATTCACAGGCTGCCTTCGGCTCATTTCTCATGGCTTTTCCATTTCCCCTCTCGATTTTCCTCCCAAACCCTCTTGTCAAGTGTTTTTCAAGTGGAGATTAGCACGATTCCTGTGCAGCTTATGGCAAGGATGCGGCCCCCTTTTATCAGTTCGATTGGTTTGCTTGTTCAACTGTTTTCCCTTTGCCTCGATTTCTTTGAGTTGTTTGCCAAATAAAGATTTGATCCCTTTACAATAAGACAGGAAATGGTATTTCCCACAAAATATTTGTTAGCAGTCGGTCACAAAAATACATTTTTGTTAATGCAAAACAGGAAGAAATAAATCTCTTGCGATTGGAAAAATCAAATACTTGACAGGCACACAATAAGTCTAATAAAATATTAAATGTTTTTAAATATTTTAAAATGAAAATTAATAAAATATAAAAACTATATTTTCTAAATGATATTTTGATTAGTTTTAACTATGTTTAATTGTTGATGTATTCGCATAATCTTTTTGTTTTTTGCTTTTCAATTATACTTATATAAAAATTTTTCATTTTTTTTTTTAATTTTTATCAACTACCATTTCAGCTTTTATAATTTTATTAGAGTTGAGAGAACACTTCAAGCTAATTGCTGCTCAAAAACATGCCCCGAATTGAGGCAATTTCGTCACGTTTAACGATGTACAAAATTGGGCTAATGTGAAGAGATATAAAAAAGTAAAGTCCTGAAATGAAATCATTTTCACCTTTAAAAGGGCATTAAAACCGGACTCCAAGGGGGGAGGGTATACTCGTACACCTTTGGGGAGTGGGAAAAGGCGGACACGAGTGGCAATCAACAAAAGACACACACGTAGAGTTGCAAACAAATTAGAACACGCACGAATGGCCTGGCCACAAAAGCGATTTGATGAAGAACAGTAAGGGATGAGTGGATAGATACGAAAGTGGGGGAAGGAAAAACCGAAGAGGAGATCAAAGTCAAAGGCACGTGAGTCTATGGAAACTTTTTCCCCAAGCGGCATAATAATAATTGAGTGGATGCCGAAACTAGTCAAGGTGTACAAAAAATAGTTGCAGAAAATGCAAAATAAGTGGACAAAGGAAGGAAAAAAAAAGGGAGGACAGGAAGGAGGAATAGATCCTGGCCATTATCCACAGGCTGTCGCCTGACTGACCGACTGGGCGTATGCGTAATTTAAGCCGCTTTAAGTCAGGCTCAATTGTTGGAAACGGCGACCCGAAGCGAAATCTGTCCCCTCATCTATTCGAATGGGAGGGACTGGGGGTGGGGGATCCACCCAGTGCCACACCTACACGCACATCTGCTGCTAAGCTGCTGCACGCACATGAAGTACCCAGCAAAAAGTCCTTGAGCACGGCTCACACAAAAAATAAAAGAAAGGCAAATTCAGTGGCGGGGCCAACTCGAACTGGCACTTAAGAGCTTCGATGTCATGTCGACACGGCGGGTGGGATAGCAAAAATGGATAGCAGAAGAACACTGAGAATAACAACGAGCTATCCAGTTAACGGAAATAATATATAGTTATTTCAGAAAAGCCAATATTAAAAATCTAACAGCAAAATGTTCATTACTTTAAGATTCATAAACAATAAGGTAATATTATTAAACTTGTTTATCGATAAACACTAATTATTCGAGATTGAAATTTATTAACTAGTATAATTTGTACAATAAATAATTTATATCTTCTTAACGTTTTAGTTTTAAAAATAAAAACCAAAAAAATAAACTAACGTTTTAAAACGATTTGAAATAAGTTTCAAATTATTGTTAATAATTTCTAAGAAAATGTTTTCAGCAAGGCTACATTTGTGCAACCCAGATTAATTGATTCATAAATATTTCTATAAACTTTCCCTTTTTTTCTTCAGTGCACGGTAGGCAGGGCAAGGCGGGCATCAAGTGTTCATGGCGCCTAAAGTAACTGAAGTCGGCAAATACCGCGAATCGGATGGAACGGGACGAAAATGGATAGGATCTGGATAGCGATAGGAGCGAGGGAAAGGGGAGGAGGAGAACTGAAGGGCAGACGACACCATCTAGAACGGGCGACATGGAGTTAAGTGGCGTAAAGCGTGTACTTAATCGCTTTAAGCATTAGAATTTGAAATTGAATATCATAAAGGATATTCAAAAGTGCGGGCTGCAAACAAACTCGCAAAAAAGGAAAAAAACGCCAACTGAAGAACAAGCAAAGCAGAGCGAAAAAAAATTGTTTAAGTAGAGCACACAGCAAATAGTTGTAAAATTTTCACCGGAGAGAGAGATAGGAATACGGGGGGGGAGAAAGAGAGGGCATGAGTTTTGTTGGGTGTGAGAACATTTTGCAAATAGTTGAGGGTCCGTGTGGAGTTGAAGGAGTTTTGTTGATGTCGAATTGACGACTCGTAAAATTGTTTTAAGGTGCGACATAAACTGTGGATGTCGGCGTTTCCACACGATAAACAATTTGTTGAAAGGAGTAGCTACTTATCGCAATCGAATCAATTTGTTGACTTCGCGCTGAAGCGTCGATAATTTTTGTGTCTGCACACGAACAAGCCCAGCTAAAAACAGTATACATTATCACACAATTTATTGCCACGTCATTAAACAGCAAAACTATTACCGAAAAGATTCAAAACTCAATTTAATAACAGTTGTTACAACCACTAGGAAAATATTTTTGCAGAAAATTTACGTAGCAATTAGCGGAATTATATTACCAAAAATTTCTATTTTATTGATGCAAGCAGATTTCAGAATATTATTACACGAACATAACCACTTCAGCATTCAGCATTTTGCCCACAGACAAAGCTCTAAAATTACAACCGAAAATAATTATGGCAATCTCGAATTTGAATGTTATTAAAGCGTGAAGAACAATGAAAATATTTTCAGCAGCTTGCATTAAAATTTATTGGACAAAAAGTTATAAATCGAAATTCAATGGACGAATGGCAGAGCAAGAAGAATGATTTGTGGAAAATCCAAATGTGTGTCCGCCCGCCCAGATGGCATTAAAAATGCATGACATTTTGACAATTGATGGGCCAAGGAATCGATAACATCAAATATGCATTGCCAAGGGGGCGACTCTGGGGGGCTGCCGTCTGACAATTTGCAATTTGCTTTTATCATCTTAATTTGATTTGAAGGGTGTTTGCAGAGGGAGCCAAATGGGATGGCTGACTTTCAATGGAAAGTCGGTTCGATAATGAAGCGAAGCTGGTTAAATTAGCACAGCATTCAATTATTCAGATCGAATGGAGTAGTCGGGGGGAACAAAGTCTCCTCTTTACTTTTCGTATCCCATATATCAAACACACATTAGTTGCGTAAATATATATGGGGAACCGAAACAAATCGAATATGCTGTCCATTATTATGATAATCGTGCTGCTTTTGGAATCGGCTTGTGGATTTATTATCACAGTGGATGCCCATGAGACGATGTGCTTCTACGACCACGCAAATGTCAGTGATAAGGTTACCATATCCTTTGAGGTGATGGAGGGTGGCTTCAAGGATGTGGGAGTTGAGATTTCGGGACCTGAAGACGATTGGCTTCACCACTCCGAACAGGAAACCTTGGGCAGCTTCACCTTCACGGCCTTGAAGGATGGCCAATACCAACTGTGCTTCAACAACGAGATGTCCACACTGACTCCAAAGGTTCTCATGTTCCAGTTTCACATTGCCAGGGCTCTCGAATACTACTCGGATCCTTCGAATCGCAAGGACGATGTCCTCGAACAGGCGAAGGTTCAGGGAATGGTCAACCAACTATCCGCCGAATTGGGAGCCGTGAAAATCGAGCAGGAGTACATGCACTTCCGATATCGTGGCCATATCCATGTTAGCGACACGGTTCACTTTCGGGTTATAGCTTGGTCTGTCTTTGGACCCATGATGCTCCTCATTACTGCCTTATTGGAGGTGTACTACCTAAGGCACTTCTTCGAGATCAGGAAAGTGGTTTAATTCATGAATCAATAATTAGTAATGCTGATATAGAATCAAAATCAAACCTCTTGTCTGACAGTTTAATTACCTTTGATATGAATAAAAGCAAAACCTAATCGCTGAACTTTTAAAGCTTTGTAATTATAAAAATTATTAAACAAATGTCGCAAAGTGTTTAAGCAATGTAACATATTTATATAATTTAATTAATTATAAAAGATAAATAGTAACAAAATACATTAATAAAAAATAAATTTACAGGACATTGATTTTATGATCACAAACATGAAATAATATTTCGTATTTAACATTTATTTTCTCGGTTTTCCTGTGCTATCCACTTATTTCTAAGCTGCTTGATTAAAGGTAAACAACGAATGAGCATTGAAGGATCTCATCCGGCTGGGCTTTTCCTTGTGGCTTTTCTTTACCCTCAATTTGTTGCATATTTCACGCTTCACAAACCATAAAACTTTGCCACGTTCGGGGGGCTGGCTTAAGTATCCATAAAGTTCACTTCACCTATATAAAGTGTGGCCCCACATTGGATTAGCACTGGAAATTTATGACTTCTGTCCACACATGGCCAATACACCAGTCGAGGCGGAAACTTATCATATTCATTCACAACTTTCTCCCGCTTCTTTTCACTGCTCCTTGGCAAAACAAAGGCAAAGTTTTTGCCTCTTATTTACGACAATGTCGCGTCAAGTTTTTTTCCGCTCCTGTTTTTGTTTTTCTATATACCCATGGCACGGGGTATATATATTGCCCTATAAAGTAGCAAGTTTTCCGTTTTTTTTTCTTTCCCCGTTGGTTGTTGCATAATAAAATGAAGCATGTTGTAGGAGCTCTCGAGTCGCGGCATCTGGCAGCGCAAGAAGAATGAATAAAGGACACCCGACTTGGTACAATATTGTTCCCCAGCGTCAAATGAAAGCAAAAGTTCTGGGCGCAGAATGGGCGAGGCCAGGAGCGTGGGGGCAATGTGGCCAAGTATCCTAGCAGCCAATGGAGCAGCGCGCAAATAAAGTTCACAAGACAAAACCGGAATGGCAATGGAGGCTGGGAAAAAGCGCTTGCTGGCCAAGGGGAAAATCCAGATCCCTGATGGATATTTTCCAAGAATTTATTTCGAATTTACATTCTACGGTTTCTCCTGCTGTTGACACCAATTTAATATTTTTAACGGGAGAAATGAACCACAATTAAATTAAGAAAGACAGTTTAAATATTAAAGTTTAATATGGTTTAACTTATTTAAAGTTGAAATAAGCAGCTAGACGTTAATGATTAAACTTTAAATTTCATTGCTTAATAACAAACATACTCCTCATTCACTTGGAATATATTCCCTATTAGACTACCCACAAAAATGAAATGCTAAGGCTTAAACCACATCCTTTCTTGCTCGTTTGGATCCCTCCCTAGTTACTGGCTACTCAACATTCCAATGCCCCATCATCGCTCATCATTATCGCATGCCAGGACCTCATGGCACTCTGGCTTCAATTATGTTTTGCATCCTTCAGAGCTGTTCACTTAATTGCATCACTTGCACAACTGTCGGGGGTTGAAGGCAGCGGTTAGCCCTTCGTTCCTCTGAGTTGTGATGGCTCCGGGTTCAAATGTCCTCCCACTTTTCATCCTGCCAACTCCCTACTCCCCTTCTCCCCAATGTGGCAATTCAATTTTCTATTATGTCAGGCCGAGTTGAAAGCAATGTAATGTTAATAAAATACTGCCACCATCCTCGACCTCGGCATCAGCTTCAGCATCAGCATCGGTTCTAGAACTCCAGATGGAGCAACAATGGAAGCAATAGCAATGGCGCGGCTGCCATGGCAACGTGGCGTATACGCAACGTGGTGCGCCTTTTGTCCTGCCTACGAGTATTTACCCACAACACACCAAACACACAGGCCATATGAGAGGGGCAACTGAGGCGGCTAGAGCTATGTTATTTGACATTTATTTGCCATATTCCTGCACCAGCCGCATTACCCTTCTTTAAGCCACAGTTCTTGCACCGCAAAAAATATATATTAATACATCTAAGCAAACATAAATAGTACCTTAATGCTAACCCCAATGACTATATTATTACAAAGATGTGTTGTTTTCAATGCTGTAGGAAAATAAACCATTTACCTTAAGACTATTGGCTCAAAAGCTTTCAGGTGCACTTAAAAATTAATTTGCTACCCGAATTTCACAAAATATTTAGGGTTTAACTGAAAGTTGGTCTTACAAAAAATATTCCTTTTTTATACAGCCTATGTCTAAATGGAACGAAAAATACGACAACTAATATAAATGTATTCCCCGCATTAAGTTGCATTAAAAATGTTATATATAAAATGAATATAAATGGTAAAAAATCAAGATCTTCTCCAGATTTTTCTTTGTGTAAGTGGCCAGAGCAGAGACAGCAGCACTTACCTCGCTTCTGTGGCGACTGCATGGAGGATGGCGACGGCGTCGCCAGGCGCTCACCCACCAGATGGAGGAGCAGGAGAAGCATCAACAGGCCACAGTTGACTGCTCCTGATCCGGCGGCGGCGGCGGCTCCTTTGTTCCTTCGTCCCATCGTCGGACGACCGGCGACTCCACTGGATCCTTGACTTTGGTTTCGGTTTTGGTTTTGGTATTGGTATTGATTCCACAATCCGTTGGAGCGTTTGCTTTGGCGCATTTCGGTTTTCACACTTCACTTTCACAATTCCCCGTTTATATTTATTTGTTGCACTTTTTTTATTTTACTTGTTCATTTCATACGCTTCCATTAACCTTTTCGAATAAAAATGATAACAGATATTGTGAAATATTCTGAATTATTTGTTATGCCTTCTGTATCTTTATTTCTGCAAATATTTCCATTTAAATCTCGCTTATAATTTTGCGCATTTAGTTGGCAATATTTGCTATTAATTAAAAAGCAATTTACTCAGCAATTGATTTTTTCGTGGACAATATTTTTTTGCCATAATTTAATGGCTGATTGTTTGGACATCATTAGTCATGTGGAAGTCCAGCGGGAACTGAAAAATGAATGAAATCCCAGTAGGCAAGCTGTTGGCAATCATTCTTCATTAGATGGGGCCAACATGTCAAGGACTTTTCGAGGACGACCACAGAAATTTCGCAGTTTTCTCCACCGATTCTCTCGTTTCTATTTATTTTTTTATACTCTTTGGTTGATAAATATCAAAAATTCACAGTTGCATTTCCATGGAAATTGGCAAAGGCAAAAAAAAGGAATGCAAAGCAAAAATACTTGTTTTTTTTCTGGCAACCAACTAAGGGCCGAGCGACGCTCGCTGGAGCTTGAAAAATTGCAGCAATTAGTGGTGCCTAGAGGTCAGCCAACCAACGAGCCAAAAAGGACACGGACCCACACCAGCACACCACATTCAGCACAGGATCCGGTCCTGCAACCTGGCGACGTGAGCCAGCCAAGAAATATGTGGCTGAAATATTTTGGTTACGTTTCCCCCTTCTTTTTTTTGGTGGTTCGGCTTTGAAATACCTTTAAAGTGAGATTTTTCGGTGAGATTGAAATGAACCTTGTGGAAAATTGGTGACACCGTTTTGTGTGCTGGCAAATATTTTCAAACGTTGTTTACGTTATTTATGTGCCAAATCTCTTGTTTGTTTTGTTTTCTGTAATGTGTATATTGCATTTCAATTCGTAACTACTTAATTTATGATGTTATTTTCTCATTTCAAATTAAATGATTTACTGGAGTTTATGAACAATAAATGTTTGCAAAGCAACTTTTATATGGCTTTATTAAATTTTGAATAAAGGTTTTTTGCTGAACCGAACCAGCTAGTTTAATATTTTTTTATTAAAAATATATAAGCCATGCCGCTGTTGTTTTAATGATAAATGCTTGTTTGGCCAATTCGGGCACACATCCGAAGGATTCGTGGCGGGTCCTTTTGTGGGTTCAGCTGGTTCAATATTTCAATGGGGCGCACGAGTTTTTATTGCACCTCTAGGCGCATTCAATTATTTATGCAAACGCTTCGAAAGGGAGCAACAAAAAAGGCGAAACGAAAGGCGGCGGCGGCAATAAAAATCAAAATCGAGGCAAATTCAGTTGTGGCATATGGCGAAAAAGGGACAAAAACTGGAAAGAAAAACACAAGGACAAAAACAAAAGGCAACTGAGTGGAGCGCACACACGAAAATAAATGGAGAGGGAAACATCCTGATGGCCATTGACGGATGTGGCACGCGTTTCTCCTTTAATATATTTGTTTTATTCTTATTTCGTATTTGCGGAGGCACTTTATAAAAAATCACGTAGCCGCCATGGAGTCAGTGGAGTGTGGGGGATGGAGCGCAATGGCATGAAACCACCCACGGAGCATTGAAAATTTAATATTTAATCTTAACGAAGGACATCCATTACAATTACACAATTGAGAATCACGCACCACAGACACCGCACCTCACAAACCGTAAAAATCACGGACGATTCCGAACCGCTTCTGCTGACTTCTGCAGACGAACTGAGCGCGAATTACGCGGAGCTGCTGTAGCGCAATCCGATAAATATATATATGTATATATTAATTCCAAGCTGAAGGGAACACGACGACACAACCTAAGGCTTCGGCTTTGCACGGCAAACTGGCGATTTTTCAGAGATTTCTGGCGGAAAAGAAAATCCACGAGTCGAGCCGAAACGAAGCTCTGAATGAAAGTGAAGCTGATTTTCCGTTGCAAACTGAGCGAACCGGTAAAGCCCTTTGCAAGGGAGCGTGAAAGCTCTGATTTGTGCGTAATTCGCTCTCTCTCTCTCCTCTTTTCCACGGCTCTCCCCAACCATATGACTTTTGTTTATGCCCAATCAGCTGTTCGCCGTTTCGCTCGCACGTGGTCGAGCACAACAAAAACAAAGTCCTTGTTTTGATTCTGCATTATGTAAGCAACTGAATCGGTTAACGGGGAAAATGGCTTAAGGGATAAATTAGGATGCACGAAAAAAAACGGTTTACAAAACTTATATATCTTAAATATAACTTCTAATGAAGTAGCACCTTCTTAAAGTTGAAAATAATTCTAATAAAAATACTTAAAATAAAATGTTACAAATAAATAATCTAATAATTTTTTACCATCAAACACACAATTGACCCAACGCCACAACTTCTTAAGAAGATGTTGTTAAAATGTCAGAAATGTTAATCGGGTTTGTAATTAGATTCATGATTTTAAGTTCCCACAATTCACTTTAATTAGCATTAAAAATATAAGAAGAATACCTTTCTCCTTTTCCTTCTTTTAATAACCGAATATAGATAACAGCAGCGAAGAGAAGTAGAGCGAACATTGTCCTTTAAAAATAATTCCTAAAAAATGCCCCGCACCGCGGTCGACCACCCCCGAATTCCGCCCACTCCAGCCCCAAGTGGTCATCATCAAGGGCGACTCTTAGCGTGGACAGCTGGCGACGACCTTTGCATGCCAATTAGTTTGGGGAACGCGGCAAACTGAGCAACTGGGACACGGACCGCTGCGCTTCACTGCGGATTCCGAACCCACACACACCCCACCCACCTTATATTTCCTTACCTCCCCTATAACCTTTAAGTATAACGGTAACGGCTGGGTTTTTAAGATGGCGCGAAGGAAAGGTGGAGGAGGTATTTTTTATAGCTATCAACCATCAGATTCAGCTGCAGGTAGACCCGTCTTGTCCCGCCGCCGCTCTCTTTATTTTCTCATTTCCTGGCCATCTCAAGGATGTGCGCAGGTGTCAGGACCAGAAGTAGGGCCACTAAAAATAAAAAAAATACTCGGGATGTGCCTGTTTTTTTCTTTTGCTTAATTTTCGTTTTATGTTTTGACACCGTTTGGTAAAGTTTTCACCATCTCGCCCTGACACTTACAAGTTTGCCTCTTGTTGCCGTTGACATTTTTATACATCATCTGTCCCGGTGGAAGCCACTTCCGCCCCAAATCCTCCGCCATGTGGCACCTTTAAGTGCCCCCATATCATTTCGTTGTTTCTTACGTTTTTATTTAATTTCAGCCTTTTTTTGTTGCGCCTGAAATGCCGACATAAAGTTTTTGTCGCCCATAAAGGCAAGTGTCTTGGCTTCGTTCGGCTTTCGTTTTTATTTTATTAGGGGCCATATAAGCGCGGAAAGTGTGGAAGACAAATCTGAAAAGCGTGAAAAGATGGCACACATTTTGATCAAAATTTCATCAGCATCAAAGGGAATCAATTTCAAAAGGAATTCCATCGACTCTTGCATACTTTTGGCGTTCATTTGCAATTCATAATTCTCACAGACCATAAAATATTTAACAAAATCGTTACACAATTGATTTAAATGGCACCAAAATGTACGATAAATATTTACAAAAAATTACAAATTAATTACAATTCAAAATGGCCGCAGGCGGCCGCAAATATGTGATTTATTTGCCCGGTGTGCATCAGAAATCACGTATACGCCACCGTTTTGCCAATGCCTTTGGCCATTGCAATTGAACACATAATAAATATTTATGCAGACAGTTGCTTGTTTTTCTACACACACACACACAGAACCACACACACTACGTGTAATTACACAAGCGCACGCACACTTGGGCGACATTTGTGTTTGCCCAGATTATTAAATATATTTTCTTTAGCCACCCCCCCCCTCTTCCCCCGCATTTTCACCTACTGGCGCTTTCCTTGCCTTGGAACCTTTTGTTTATGTTTACACACATGAATGTATAAATTACGATGCTTGGTTTTTGTAAACAAAATGAGTTTGCCTGCGGGCCGGCGGCTTGATTCAGTAAACCCCCAATCCCCAAAACCCCCTCTCCCAACCAGAAGCCTACGCCCCTGGGCGTGCTACTTCTCCCGTCGGCCACATTTAAATATTTGCGCATGGAATTATTTTCCCTGGCATAAAGTGTGGCCAGGTAGACATTTACAAAGTCAAACAAAAGCTGCCATCGCCAACTCACTCACCTGCCAAGCTGTTTACCTCCAAGCCCCCCTCCTCCCCCATTTTTTATACTCCGCCTCTGGTCTTGACGCCAGTTTAATGTCCCCATTCCTAGCACCCTGCCAATCCTCTTTCTCCGGCTTTTGTTTCCCCCTCCCCTTCCACTTGGTCATTGGGAATTTTAATTAAATTTAAATGAAGATTTATTACATGTTTCGTCGCTGGCTGCTCGGCTCCGTTGACCTTCAATTGTCCTTCGATTAAGCCACAATTGAGAGCAATAATACTCATTTCGAGAAAAACCATGGAATGGTTTTAATAATTATAGCAGATATCCTCGTATATTAATTGATAATTTTGAAATGGAAATTCTGGGAGAGTAAAAATGAAATAAATAGCCAAATAACAATTGTATTCTTGTATTTATTCTTATATATGTACATATTTTTTATATTATTTGTATACATTATAGTTTTGTGTTAATTATAATAATGTTTTCAGACACACACAAATACTTCTACGGGACTTTCTTCTCTTTGGTGGAGGGAGGTGGTCCAGAAGCCGGAGGGGAAGCCGATCCACTGTCCGATTCAAAGGGCATCAGCCGGGCCGAAGGTCGCGGACGGATGATGATGAAGTGACAAACTAGGTTGGGATCCACCACCAGCACAGCTCCACTATTATCGAAGATGTTGCAGTAGTTGGGAGCAGAGAATATAGTGACCAACTGGCGATCGGCGAAGAACTCATAGCCATCCTCCACAACCTGATGGGCACGAACAACCAGATTGAATTTGTACTGGAGCAGAAAGCTCTCCACTATTCCAGCCCCAAAAGTGAAGCTAACACCCCGATCATTTGCTGCCCAAGTGCCAGTTGTCTCATCCGGATCCGACCAAAGTAAATCGCATAGCAAACCATCGCTGGGCACTTCAGTTGGTCGATGCAACCGCCTTATATCATCCAGGTTCTTCAGATCCGGACTCAATCCACCGTGAACACAGAATATTCGATCCGCCACAATGGCAGCCACCGGCATGCAATCATAGCAATCCACAAAGGCTCGCCACATTTTCACACTATACCTTCGCTTACACTCGTCGAAAAATCCATACACCCGATTCACATCCGCCGATTCGTGGTTGCCGCGCAGCAAAAAGAAAGTCTCGGGAAAGCGCAGCTTGTAGGCCAACAGCAGGGCCAATGTTTCCACGGAGTTCTGACCCCGATCCACGTAATCCCCAAGAAACAGATAATTGGAAAGCGGCGGTGTGCCGCACTGCTGGAAAATCCTCAGGAGATCCTTGTACTGACCGTGCAAGTCGCCGCAGATCTTCACCGGAGCACTCAGTTCGAGGAGCATCGGTTGGGACAGAAACAATTCCCTGCAGGTGCTGCAAACGTAGCTCAAAGTGGCCTCCGTAAGATTTCCAGCCCTCCGATTTCCGAGTGTCTGGTTCTTAAGCTGATTAATAATCGCATCCAGGTGGGCCAGTCGGTTTTTCTCCTCCCTATCCGCACTTGACTTGGACGCATCCTTGCCGGTGGACAGCAAACTGGTTGAGCGCCGGGACATGCTTTCCTATTTCTGAACTAGTTTTAAAAGGGTGTGGAATTTCAAAACGTCCTGTAACGTTAAAATTAATGTCTTTCTAGCGAGCTACTTCGTTTCAGGTAGCAAATTGTTATTATATTATAAAACCAGTTTATTTTTAAATAAAATAATAAATAAATAAAAAAAACCTATAGCTAAAAAAAATCATATATAAAATGTCAATTCAATTAAATTAGTAATCATTTTTTATGTTAAACGTTTAATAGAAGACGTTTTGTTACCAAAAAAATCAATCAAACAATTTATGAAATTAAAAAAGAATTTAATATTGTATCCATTGATCTTAGTAAAAGTAAAAGTAAGTATTGCTTTGATTGTTTTGATTGTCCTTTTTCGATAAGTAGAAATACTTAGTTTGGATGACTGCGGTTGAGTTGGCTGCACTTCAATCCCCGATTGCTTTGGTTGAGACTTTTCACTCCATTTGCTTCAACATTTCTTTCAACGTTCTTATATTCTTTGCTCCCTTTTGTTTCCCTTTTGGTTTTATCTCTTGCCCCTTGACCATTTCAATTATCAGACACTTGGCATAAATTTCGGGAAAAACAAAAAAACATTCAAATGGGCTGCGCTCGATAACAGGGGAAAAGCGCCGCAAAGTCGCTTGTTTACTCGCTGTTGACCCCTGAACCGCGTTGGGTTAACCTCTCCCCTCCCCCTTCCCCCTCCCCACTCTCCACTCCCCCTCAACCCATTATTTTATTTTTGGCCACGAGTGGACGACCCAGCTGCATTTTGGCTACTCGTAATCCCGATTCAGGAAGCTTCCTGCACTTGTAATGCGGCTTAAAAGAGCGAGCGAGAGCGCTGGGTTTTATGGTACCATTCTGGGCCATCTAGGGTTTTATGTTCTCCCTCCGCAACAAAAAAAAAATGTTTTATCCCCCAACCGAGAATTTCTCTCCGGATTTTGGAGCGCATTTTGAATACATTTTTGAATCAGTGTCGACGCTGTTTACTTTTTATGCCACTCTTTTTGCAGAACCCAACTCACTTTGGGCCTGGGTTCTTGTGCCCCCGTGTTCCCTCTGGTTTTATGCGATTTGTGTACTTCCGGCTATAGTGACTCTGCCTGGGACTCATGTGTGTTTTACCACTCTTGCGACCAAAGCCACTGACAACTTTGAAGCCCCCCGACCCATTTGTCCCGCCCAGAATGTATTTAATTGCAAGCGGCGCTCAAATAGGATTTGTGCATTGTTTTCTGTGGTGGATTTAATGCACGACCCTGGCGTAAAAACCCAAACCCATCTCCACCCACTTTGGAGGATGTTTTTGCATTTTTTCCACCGCTCCCATTCGGAATCTATTTTAATGTCAGTTTAATTCAATGCCCCAGCGGTTCTCTAATGCGCTGCGGGAGCTTTGAGGGGTTCCCTTGTGCGGCAAATGTAATTAAATTGTGGCCAAAGTGGGATAATCCCCATCGTTCTTTTCGATATAGGTACTTAGGATAAGTATATAAGTATAATGTGCTCGGTCAGGGAAAGAGTTTTGTACTATTACACCATCCGTTTGTACAAACATTTATGATATAAAATAGGATATTATTTTTAAAAAACTTTGGTGGTGTAATGCTAAATTGATCAATGCTTGTAGAGAATTTTATTTTTAATTAACTTAAAGGTTTTTACATTCTGATGAAATAATAATTTAAAATGTAAATCAAGTGGTATTAATTGGCCGATGGCTAATTTAGCTCAATTCAATTTCAATTTAATGCCTTTTTGATTTGAATTACAATTTTTTTTCAAACAAAAAAGGAAGCTAGCTTCGGCGAACGAAGCCTTTATACCCTTGCAGTCATCACAAATGTCAAGCAGAATGCATAAAGGCTAAACAACATCGAATTAATGGCGATTTTTCTATTAATTTGTATACATCGGTTGACTATATCGGATAACTCCCAAAGGAGAGATCGAAAAAATAACAGGAAAAATTATGTGTTTTGATCATACAATTTTTAGTGGCATACCCTTCAAAGCAGATTAAAATAAAAAAAATTAAGGGACTATGAGTGTTAATTTTGGTTAGATAGCTTAAAAAAAAATAACTAGTTTGCTGATCAAGAACATATATATACCCAAATGTAGGTGGAGGGGCCTTCTTTATTGCATTGCAAACTTCTGACTGAAATTATAATACCCTCTGCAAGAGTATAATGACACTTTACTGCATACTAATTTGGTTTTAATGACTTTTAAACTTTGAATTAATTTGCCATTTAATTGTGAAATAAAAGTTTATTAAAATGTATTTAAGTTAAATTGCTGATATATTCAATTTGTTTTATTTAACTAACACAATTTTTTATTCAAAGAAACACCTTTTCTCTTGAAGTCTGAAAAGCAGTGTTTTGATATCGTACTCCATCGCCTCGTTTGGGGAGTCAAAACTCGAACAGCTTTCAACTGTCTCTCGAAATCTGAAGCAGCAAAGAGTGCTTGGCTTATTTCCGTTTCCGCCTGCTGCCATATTTTCCAAGCCCCCCGCAAAGCAGCTCAGCACTTTTACCTCAGCATTGCAGTTTTCCGATTCGTGAAAGAGCCAAAGCAAAAATCGCACGCTTGAATTTGGTAAAAGCGGAATATCGAAAAGGGGGCGAAAGGTTGTGTGGTTAGGTCAGCAGAAATGCTTTTCAGCTGCTGCTGCTTCTGGTGCTGCTGTCGCTGCTTTTGTTGCGGCCATCCCATTGTGTCGCCGGAAATATTCAATTTTCAATTTTCATTTCGCTGGCCAGCAAAAATTGGCAAGCGAAAACAAAGGACGTGAACAGAGAGCAGAGCGAGAAAATCGGCTAAGCGCATCCAGAGGGGTTAAAGGAAAAAAGGAATGCTGAATGAAGGAAATCAATTCAATTATGTCGTTTTTATAGCTTTTTTTCTCCCCTGACTTGTATTGTCTCGAATTATGAAGGTGCATTGGAAGTTTCTGTCTGAGCGATATAATCCTAATGAAACGTGCAACACGCTTTGGACAGGACAATATCTTTAGACCAGATTGTGCCACAATGTAGACGCAAAAGTTTAAGCTGACCTGGGCAGCCATTGTCATCTTAACACAATTAAGCGCTCAACAGGAGCCAGAGCAAATATAAATTTATTGAAATATTATTTATGACGTTGAAAATTGCTGGAAGCCGCCTTTAATCCTCGTTACTTACCAGCCAAGTCCCCTGCTGGGCTTGCCTCGGTTATCGTTTGTTTTGGCCATTTTCCAGGGTCATTAGCTGATGGCAATGATGATGATGATGATGCTAAAGCCAACAACTTTCAACGGCGAAGGGCAACAAAGTCCTTACGAGTGGCATCTCCAGCTGGGTGTCAGACCGCAATGAAATTGTTTTTTGAAACAATTTTGTTATAGAAAAGTTACTTGGGAGTGACACAACTTCAGTTATCAGTTAGTTTATTTCTCTTTAAAACAAAAAATCTGAACATTTGTTTTTTAAGAGTCGAATGATCTAGTTACTAGTAATCTTATCACTGCATTAAATGTTACAGAATATAATATAAATGGGCAAGCATATTACGAATGGGATTAAATTTAAAGGGATGTCAGAAATATAAATTTTTAAATTTTGTTAAGTTTCTTCTTAATGTATTATTTTAAAATAAATCACAATATGGACACTATAAATCGAAGAACCTGTACGTGAGGAATAAAAACCCTTCGTTTATCTTGGGTAAACATTAAGGGTCGCTCGTAAAGTTGTCAATTGAGCCGCGTTCCAACAACTGCTGACATCCCCTGAGAAATATCTCCGGGACACACTCGTCCACTCATTAAATTGGCCCGAAGCTTTAAGCTGTTTTCACTGAGTGCCCTGGTTGGGCAGAAGATTCCGGAGACAGGAGCTTGTTTTAATTAAAATTTTAATTTAATTCCTTCCGTTTTTTATTTCGCACACATCAAACGTGATGCGGAACGCTGCGGGGGCAGCCAGACATCAAGTGGCCGAAATTAAAATCTGCAGCAAGCACTTGACACTTTTGGGGGATCCGGGAGGGATTCGTTGTCAAACTGCAAACTACATAAGTGACAAAAATTACGCATACGCACTGTGGCTCGCCTGCAAAAATAACACGTATAATGAAAGCAACCAGGGCGCAATTTATTGAAGTGTCTATGGGTGTGTGTTTTCGGGAGTGTGAGCATATTTGTGTGTGTATGTGGGTGCTCATTAACACTTTGTCGAGTGGTGTGGCCCCAACTTGAAGTTTGTTTGGAGTGGAGAATGCGAGCTGAAAGATGAGCTCAGACCGCGTGGCAGAACCATATGTTTGTGTGTGTGTGTGTGTGTGCGTGTGTGCAAACAGTAAATCACTGAAAATAGCTGGCAAAATAAATTCCACAAAGATTTAGTAAGACATAGGACATAGCTATCGTTCCTCTACTCTTTTCTCCTCCATCACGTTTCTCACTTCACGCTTGCTGCCTGAAAACAAAGTCTGACTCCACTAAGTGAAAACATTTCTGGTATGCTAATTAAGCTCAATTTTAAAAAATTAAATTAAAATATGTCTCTCAGGAAAAAACAATATGTACTGGTGTTTTAAATAGTTTTTAGTTAAAAAAAAAAAAACGTATATATTTAAAACTAAATAGGTGTTAAAATGGAATTTAAGCGAGATTAAAACCGAAAGTTCGTATGATTAGTATGATTTTAGGAGTAAATCCTTTGAATTATTATTAAACGACCAGAAACACTTTTTGCATAGAATATCAATTCCTTTTTAAAGTTTTAAATTTGAAGTGCAGCTTATGGAAGTTTGCCTGTAGTTGGCCCTCAAAAAGGCTTGCCTACTTTTGGGCCTAGCTCGTTGTGGCTGACATTTAGCAGTCGCTTGACACTTGCAGAGGCACAGACAGTGAGTCCTACGTGTGATATCCTCCTTTGGCTGCCTAAAAACGAAACGAAGCGAAAGCAGCAAAGACACCAAGTGCGAGGCACTTGACGTTGACGAGCCTGTGGATAAGATGCCCCAAGCAGCGCGAAAAATAAGGAGTGGGAATATG